TTCCAGGAGGCGTGCAGGTACCAGTTCTCCTTGTTCTCCATGGAGATGATGAGGCTGTTGCCCGTGGGGTCCAGGAAGATGCTGTGGATCTGGTCCTCCTTCCTACGCGCAAACTCAATGTCTGCACGCACGCACACATCATCAGCCACCACCACCACCACCACCACCACCACCACGCGTGGTGAGGCATTACACACACAACACGACACGCACGTTAGCTGAGCGTTCCACCCTGGCCACGCGCCCGGCACGTGGAAGCAGCGAGCAGCGAGAGGGGGAGGGAGGGAGAGGTGCCTTCGAGGTCGTCGGGGGCGTCCAGGCGCAGGCGGATGATGTGTCCGTTGCTGAGGGCCATGGCGACGACGTCGTTGCACACCACCATTTGCTTGAGTCCCTTGGGCTGGTAGGGCACCTTCTCCAGCCCAAACATGGGCTCCCCCTGCTGCTGCTGCTGCGCCCCCTGCTGCGGGTCCAGGCCCACCTGCGCTATCCCCTCCAGCATCTTGCCACCACCACCACCACCCCCCCCCAATGGTGTCAATATTACTAAATAATTTTATTCTCACCCAGGCCAATAACATTGATATGATTCAATTAAGAAAAGAATAATTCAATGCAGCATGGCCATTCAGCATTATACGCGTAGAAAGGAAGGCACAAAGGAAGAAGGCATCAAGAACCACCTACCTGGTCGAAATGATCATAATCGGGGTCCTGCCCGGGGGACTCGCTGGCCTGGCCTCGTCGAGCGTCCCGCATGGGAGGGCGAGAGCCACCACTTGGCGTTGGAGCGTAGGGAGGGGCATCAAATTCGTCGAATAGCATCTGACGGACCACCAGCTGCTCTCTTCCTTGAGTTGCGGTTTTCTTCCCCTTCTTCGTTGTTGGGTGTGTTTTCTCTGCTGATTTCTTTTTATTTTCACAACAACAACTATGGCGGAGCACGTCCTGGTGCGCGGTGCCGGCGGGCGTACGACGACCACGTTCCTGCGGTGGGGCAGCGGATGGCGCGGGCAGCTGGGCATGGGACCCGCCGTGACGCACGCCCTCCCCACCGCCGCCGCGCCAGCGGAGAGCCTCCTGGCCACCACCACCTCGCGCGTGGTGTGCGGACCCGCCCACGCTCTTGCTCTGCCCCAGGCCGGGCAAGGTGCGTGCTCACCACCACACGACCCACCACCACCACCACCAGCCACCACCACCAGCCACCACCACCACCACCACCACCACCACCACCACCACCACCACCACAGCCCATTTCCCTGCCGCTAGTAGTACCGCTTTTGATGGAAGAGCAGGTGGCGCGGCGCTGGTGTGGGGCCGTAACTGCAGTGGGCAGCTGGGGCTGGGCGACCTCCGCGACCGCCACTGGCCCACTCCGCTGCCGCCGCCTCCTCCGGGCGCCGCCGACCAGCGGCAGCCACCACCACGGCGGAATGCGGAGGCGGCGGCGGCGGCAGCGCCACGGGAAGGTCACGTCGACGAGGGCGGCGCGGGGTGGGGCCGTGGGGTGGGTCTCGGTTCCTTCCACAGCGTGGTGTCGTGGGGCGGGCGG